ATCACGCCCAGCTTCCGGCGGGCGGCCTCGGTTTGTGCATTTCTGTCGCAGCCGACTAACCCGTTCGGCTTCCGCGCGCGGGTCCGGACGCCCCGCGAGCCCCCGCGGGAGCCGGGACGAACCATCTGCACCCGCGGAGCGGGGGTGGCGGGTTCCTCCGCGCAGGATCAGGGCCCGACAGAGGGAGCTCAGCAGCAGCGCAGCCCGCAGGCCGTCCTCGCAGGGCGGCCCGGGGGGGATGGCTCTGCCGGGCGGGGCTGGAGCTGCGGGCGGGGGTCTGCGCCCCTCGCAGGGCCCCATCCCCCTCTCCGCGGTGGACTCGGCCGCAAATCTGGGGGCCCGCGTTCCCCGGGCTTGTTCCCTCCCGGAGGCGGCGAGGAGGTACCGCCGGCCCGGGCGACAGCGGCGCGCGTCCCACCTCTCCCGGTGGCCGCCCCTCGGGCTCGTTCTGCGCGGGGACCCGGCCCCCGGGCCTCCCCGGACAGCTTTCCGTGCCCGGCTCGCATGGCGGACAGGACACTGGTGGTGGTGTTCGGGGCCACAGGTGAGCGAAACCCCAAGCGGAGGCGCAGGAGCCCGCACCGAGCCCGGCCCCAGGGGTCAGGCGGCCCAAACCGGCAGAGCCAGGACGTTCCGGGATCTGGAGGGAGGCTCAGGGCCAGGGCGCAGGTTCCCTTTGAATTGAAAATAATTACTTTAACTTATTTGAATAAGTAGTAATTACGTAATACCAAGATAAAACCTGCTCCCCACCTCCGTCTCCGCCGCCCCATCCATCCGTGACCAAGTTTCCTGAGTATCCTACCAGACTGATTATCAATGTATAATGACATTATTTCTTAAATGGTAGTGTTTTATTTGTCCCCTCCTGTGTTTTTCTTTTCCATATATATATATATATATATATGTGTGTGTATTTAAAATATACGACAGCTTTATTGAGCTGCATATCCCATACCATCCAATTCACTGGTTTCTAGTATATTCACAGAGCTCTATCATCACCACATTTAGTTTTAGGACATTTCATCACCCCGAAAAGAAACCCCGTACTCACTAGTAGTCACTCTCCATTTCCCCCAACTTGCCCCAGCCCCTGGCAGCCACCAATGTACTTTCTGTTCATAGATTTGCCTATCCTGGTCATTTCATACAAATGAAATCTTACAAATACCTGGCCTGCTGTGTTTGGCCTCTTTCCTTAGTATCATGTTTTCAAGGTTCATCCCCACTGTAGCATGTGTCAGTACTTCATTCCTTTTTATGGCCTAATAATACCCCATTTTATGGATAGACCACATTGTGTTTATCTATTCATTAGTACATTTAATTTGTTTCCACCTTTCGGCTATTTTGAATAAATGCTTTTGTGAAGATCCATTTGCAAGTTTTTGTGTAAATATGTGTTTTTAATTTTCTTGGAAGTATTTCTAGGGGTGGGTACATGGGTGTTGGTAACCCTTTCTGTATGTGCTAAATATTTTATGAGATTTTTAAGATTTTATAAAAGGTGTAAGTGTGGTGCCCACTCAGACATGGATGAAACTTGAAAACATGATGCTAAGTGAAAGAAGTCAGACACAAAAGATCACATGTTGTGTGATTCCATTTATATGGAACACCCAGAGTAGGTGAATCCTTAGAGACAGAATAGACTGTTGGTTGCTGGGGGCTCAGGAAAGGGCAGATTGGGGAGTGACTGCTGATGGGAATGGATTTTCTTTTTGGGGCAATGAAGAGACTGCAATGGTGGCTGCACACTCTGAATATACTAAAACTGCACCGTATATTATGGTAAGTAGTATAAGTGGATTCCATCTCAATAAAGTTATCGTTTTAAAACTGTTGCCAGGCAGTGGGCTAGAGACTCACAGGTCAGGTGTCCTCGGTGCCCTGCTGTGGTGGGGTGCCCCCTTTGGGGTGCACCGTCAGCTAGACTTCAAGCAGGTCTCACCCTGCAGGTCTTTCTGACCCTTTGCAGGAGCCCAGGGGGGCTCAGTGGCCCGGACACTCCTGGCAGATGGTACGTTCAGGGTTCGAGTGGTGACCCGGGACCCTCGGCAGAAGGCAGCGAAGCAGCTGCGGCTGCAGGGTGCAGACGTGGTACAGGGAGACCAGGATGACGAGGCCAGCATGGAGCTGGCCCTGACTGGGGCTCACGCCGCCTTCATCATGACCAACTACTGGGAGAACTGCAGCCAAGAACAGGAGGTCAAGCAGGTGAGGGCAGGCAGAGGGTGTGGGAAGCCAGGGGCTGGGAGTGGAGACCCTGCTGGTCTCTGGGGGGCAGCTGTGACTTGCCAGAGAGGGGCTGACCCTGCCGTGGCCACTGCCTACTGCAGGCCTTTCCTACCTTTTTCATGCGGCCCTCCTAGACTTTGATGAGGGCGGGAGGTGACTGTTTTCTCATTCATGTACCATACAGTTTACCCTTTTAAAGTACAGGTCAGTGGGTTTTTTTTTAGCATACTCACAAAGTTGTTCAGCCATCACCACTACCTAATTCCAGAACTCCAGAAAGAAACCCTGTGCCTGCTAGCAGCCACTCCCATTGTCACCATCCCCAGGCCACCACCAATCTGCTTTTTGTCATCCAGTGACTACACTCTAAAAACCAACTCTTGTTGGCCCATTTTCTTATAAGATGCACGTATTATAATTGAACAGATGAAATTTGAAAATATATCCGCATAACTACCGTGCTAATGAAAAGAATACATTTCTATTGTTCCAGAAAGCCCCACATCTCTTTTCACATATTTTATATTTCTCATTACGGTTTTCCACCCAGAAGCTCCCTAGTTAGGTGGTTATTGAGCCTAGGCAGTGTGTTATGAGACAGGACCATTATTTTGTCTCACTGAAAATGGAGACACGTGAACAGTGCCCGTCAGAGCAGGCACTCAGGTATTTGTGGACTATAGCTCCTCATCCACAACCAGCCACAGCTGTGCTTTGCATGCGTGCCTTCCCTAGCCTGGGCTTTGTTTTCCTCTTCTGTTAAATGAAGGGAAATTGGACTGGACCACTGGTCTCCAAAATCGTTTGTAGCTATTTTTTCTTTGATTACAGTCTCCCACAGAAGCCCATTTAGAGAAGGGACAAAGACAGCTTTTCATCATCCTGACAGCCTGTGTTAGTGTCCTGTGGCGGCTGTAACAAAAGACCACAAGCCAGGTGGCTTAAGCAACAGGAAGTTATTCTTTCCTGGTTCTTGAGGCCAGAAGGCCAAAATCCAAGTGTGGGCAGTGCCGTATTCCCTTCAAAGGCTTCCAGGGGACATGCGGCTCCTTGCCTTTTCCAGCCTCGAGGCTGTCGGCTCTCCCCCTGTGGCCATGTCACTCCTCTGTCTCTGCCCGTCTTCCCGTGGCCCTCTCTCCCTGTCTGTCCCTCTTCAGTCTCTCATAAGGACACTTGTCATTGGCTTGTGAGCCCCATGGTAATCCGGATGATCTCATCTCAGGTTTCTTAATTATATCTGCAGAGACCTTTCTCCAGTAAGGGCACATTCACAGGGTCTCCAGGTTAGGATGCAGACATGCCTGTTTGCAGGCCACCGTGCACCCCGACACAGCCCTGTGCAGCAGGTAGCATTGCTGTCCCCAATTAACCAATGAGGCCAGATGGTTACACTGCCTGTCCTGGATCACACAGCCAGTGTGTTGCAGAGCCGGGTCTGGAACCCCAAGGCTTGTGTGCTTACATACTGACTGCAGCGCCTCCCTGGTGGACTCTTGGGGCTTCTCAGGGAGGCCGGCCAAGCACTGCAGGCAGGACACTCCCAGAGCAGGTAGAGGTGGGCAGCCTCCAAGGGCCCTCTGCCAGGCAGCAGACCTGCCCACCTTCAGATGGCACACAGGTGGGCCACCACGGAGCGCACTGGAAAGTGGCAGAGCCGGATGATAGGGAGAAACGATGCTAAGGGCCTATGGCAGATGGGATATTCAGGGTTCGAGTGGTGACCTGGGACCCTGGGCAGGGTGAGGACGTGGTAAAAGGCTTACAGTCCGTGTTAAAGGGTGTGGCGCTGTATGTCAGCGTCATTCCGGCGGGTAGGTGGTGGTGGGCTCCTGGCATCAGACACCGTGGCAATGTTGGAGGGGGAGAGCTGGGCCATGACTGGGCCACAACCTCCCTCTTGGCTCTATGGCTTCCTTTCCTGCCCCCAGGGAAAGCTGCTGGCGGATCTGGCCAAGCGCCTGGGCCTTCACTACGTGGTCTTCAGTGGCCTGGAGAACATCAAGAGGCTGACGGCAGGGAAGCTGGTGGCGCGCCACTTTGACGGCAAAGGGGAGGTGGAGGAGTATTTCCGGGACATCGGCGTTTCCATGACCAGTGTGCGGCTGCCCTGCTATTTCGAGAACCTCCTCTCCTACTTCTTGCCTCAGAAGGCCCCAGATGGGAAGAGCTACCTGCTGAGTGGGTGCCCTTCCTCCCGCCTCCTCCCTCGAGGGTCCGCTCTCACCTGTGGAGCTCTGGGTGTGACCACGAGTGGGCCTGCCCAATGGTTCTGGGTTTCTCACATTAGGCCTGTGATTGTAAGCAAGGCATTCAGCTTCTCTGGGCCTCTGCTTCCTGTCCTGTGAAATGGACACGCACTGAGTCCTGAGCACAGTGAGAAAATCTACTGAGTTGTGACACGAGCTTTGTTGTAGGAAAACTTGGATGGAGGCAAGTGCAGTTATTGTCACTTCAAAAACCAGGAGAGGATGTGGATGACCAGGTCCAGTCGTAGATTTCACAAAGTGGGAGAGCTCTCTCCTAATGCCCGTTGACAAATCCGAACCAGCGGGATGCTCTGGACCCCCGGTGGGCAGGACTCCCGGGAGGCCAGACTGGGAGGGGGCAGCGCCCTCAGCCGGCCACCCTTTTCCCTTGGCCCAAATGCTGGTGCCCTCCCCGGCCTGCTGGAGCAGAGTGTGGTCCTCATGTTGGCACTCCGGCACCGCCCTTTATTTGCAAAGCCAGCCAGGCTCCCTCCCTCCAAGGGCTGCCATGGCCCTTTACAGGTGAGGAAAATGGCAGGTTCAGGTGCTCCTGGAGCCACATCCGGGTACTGCTCTGCCTATCCACCTACGACGCCACGGCTGGGTGGGTACAGTCACTTCTGATTTCAAAACGCTTATCGGGTGCCTGTCCCGTGCTGCTCCGGGCTAGGCCCTGGCCTCTGCTGATGAGGGTTCCTGCTGGTAGATGTGTTGGGAATGCACCCACATCAGGAATTCAGGGTAAGGTGAGGTACTCCGGGCCACCACTTCGGAGCAGTGGGACCTCAGGGGCACCAGCCCAGTCTCCAGGGCACCCTTCTTTCATTCCTCTGGTTCCCATCCCAGCACTGAGAGGGATGGGCAGCCCGGGGTTCTCCCCACTCTAAGAATGGAGTAGCCAGGGCTCAGGGCCGAGCAGTGTGCCTGGGTGGTGGAGCTTGGACTGCGTCCTGGGTCCTGCCTCCTGCACCACAGACCCCAGGAGGCGTCTAAGTCGAGCTGGGTTCTGACCTGTGCTCACGCCCGGTTGACTGGCTGGGGGGAACACCAGCTTTGGCCCCTCAGAGACCTGCACCAGCACGTCCCTCTTCCCCCTCCCAGGCTTGCCCATGGGTGACGTGCCCATGGATGGCATGTCTGTGGCTGACCTGGGTCCTGTGGTGCTCAGCCTGCTGAAGAAGCCAGAAGAGTATGTCGGCCAGAACATCGGGCTCAGTACCTGCAAGCACACGGCAGAGGAATATGCTGCCCTGCTGTCCAAGCACACCGGGAAGGCTGTGCGCAACGCCCAGGTGGGTCCTGCTGCCCTGGCCCCGGGCCTGGAGCAGGCCCAGCTCCTGCCAGGAAACCCAGGCAAGCTGGTCTGGTCATTCTAACCCCCAGAGGGGCTTTGTGGGGAGTAGGGAGGGTGTATCTAGGGCTGTCCCATCACTCTGAACGAGGCAGATCTGAATTCGTCACTGTGAACATGTATGTTGTGCTGTGCTTGGGAGCCCAGTGTGGCTGCTGAGTGAAATTTCTGGCTTATGTGGTTAAGTAGTAAGGAAGGTTTCCTGGAAGAGGGGACAATGGGGCCGAGGCAAGGAGTGACAGCAGGGCGTGCAGGGCTCCTCTGGGATGGGGCTTGAGGGAGAAGAGCTGGGCAGGAGGCCAGAGAGCGAGGCCCCACCCTGCCGCCACCTGGCCCACAGCCTCCTCCTCCCCCACGGACCCTTGGCCTTCCTGTCCGGGCCTGGGCACCTTGTTTCGTGTTTGTCATTGCCAGTAGGGAAGTAAGACCTGCTCATTAAAGAAAATCTGGGAAACTGCATTGTTTAAAGACAAAAACCATCCGTAGAGCCGCAGACCCAAGCAGAGCAATGGTGGGGAGCCACTGCAAGACGCGTGTCAGGCGGGTCAGACCCCTCGGACTCGGCTCCTGGCCCCAGCCCCTCACACACACCAGTGTCTCTGCCTCAGTGTCCTCTTCTGTGACACGTGTGTATGAGTAGCGTCCACCTGCTGGGGTTGCTGTGAGGACTGCACGGAGCGATCCCCGTAAACGCTGCCACAAGGAAGTGCACCAGGAAGTGCCCTTTATTGTGTCAACAGAAGGGCCTGAGGCAGTGGTGGGGATTTATGGGATTCTGATTTGGGACTGGGAAATTGATCTTAAAATGACAGGATTTAAACTGACTAGAACAGTGCCTTTGAACTTTAGTATTTTCAGCAGAATGATTTCCAGATGAATTTAATTAGTAAGGGCCTTGTTGGGGGCAGAGGTGCCGACAGCATGCTTGGGGTGCTGGAGGTGCGGACCAACCCTAACAGACCCCCTTATGCTCCCAGACCACCCCTGAGGACTACGAGAAGGGTGGCTTCCCTGGCGCCCAGGACCTGGCCAACATGTTCCGCTTCTATGCCCTGCAGCCAGACCGCAACATCGAGCTGACGCTGAGGCTCAACCCAAAGGCCAGGACGTTGGACCAGTGGCTGGAGCAGCATAAAGGGGACTTTGCTGGGCTGTGACCCTGACCATACGTCAACACGGTCTGGAGGGCCAGGGGCACAGTCAGAGGCATCCTTTCTTGTGTCAAAAATTTTTTTTTCAGTAAAGGCTATTGTTCCCCCGGGTGACTTCCAAAAGAAAAGGGCTTTGTTTCAGGGACTGTAGTTTGACGGTGGCCGCTGCTGGGACACCCACAGCGTGAAAATCCCAACAGGAAGCATAAGGGCCGGGCAGAGCCTCCCACCCTGGCCTCTGTGCAGCGGTCACCAAAGGGATAGCAGCTCGGACCCTTTCATTATGTATTTTGAAAAAGCATTTGGTACCTTAGCACTGTGCCAGGCCCTAAGGACAGTGTTAACTAAAATGTTATGCCCCCTGCCTCAAGGAGCTTAGTTTAGCGGAAAAGCCAGATATAAATATGCAATGAATGGTTACGGATTGGCATAGGGCTACAGAGGACAGGGGGGATAAATAACTGGAGGAGGGGGCAGGGACAGTCTCTGAGGTCTGCTGGGAGGGCAGCAAGCCCCCCAGGCAGGGTAGGAGGGACTTGAGCCCACCTGGCTCAGTGACAGGACGAGACGTCCTGTATGTCGAGTCCTATGTGATGTCCAAGTCCCCTGGGCTCCTGGAGTGGCCGGCAGTCAGCACAGAGCCTGGGAAGGGCCTAGTCTGTTCGCTCATCTGGTGCTGCCTGGCTGGACCTTGTGAGGGTGCTGTGAGATCACATATGCAGAGCAGTATCTGACAACTCAGTCATCTCCCTCCTGACACATGGTCAAACCCTGCTACCCTCCAGTGCCTGTCAGTGTGTTCCTGTCCCCCTGAGAAGTGGCATCCACTGGCCTCCATTCCAGGTGTGGCCAAAGAGCTGACCCTGGGAACAGCACACGCCCCAGATCCAGTGATGTGGGTAGAACGTGCACGATTTGGGATATGCTCCCTCTCCTCTGGACCATCCATACTGCACACAAGTGCCTGTCCCAGGCAGGGAGACTACTCTGATCCTCGAAGGGCAGACCCCACGGTACGTCTGTCTTAAGCCCTCAGAATGCCATTTCCCTAAGAGTGAACCCTAATGTAGACTACAGATGTTGGGTGGTAATGGCTCATCCATATGTCGGTTGTAACAAATGCCCCACTCTAGTGGGGACACTGATAATGGGGGCCTGGGCATGTGTGGGAGCAGGGGGCTTATGGGAAATCTCTACCTTCCTCTCAACTTTGCTGTGAACCTAGCAACTGCTACTAAGAAACCTAGTTTTTTAGGTCTTCACTGTGTCCACCCCCTTTTTGCTCTTGGCCATAATAACCCCGTGTGGCTGGAGAGGAAGGCCCTTCCTGCACCCCAGATGCTGAAATCAAGGGGCCCTGCTTGGCACTACAGGAAGAAAGCCTGTGTGGTCCAGCACCCCACACTACTGGCTGCAGGGTTCCCAGCATGGGTCCCAGTTGGATGGATGCCACGTGTTCCTGATCTCTGTAATACGTTAGCTGCCAACATTTAAAACTTTAACAGTGGCAAATGTACATAAAATTTACCATTTTAGTCATTTTAAGTGTACGGTTCAGTGGCATTAAGTACATTGACCTTGTGCAGCCGTCTCCACCACCTCTCAAGAACTTGTCTTCTTCCCAAACTGAAAACCTGACCTCATGAAACGCTAACTCCCACCCTCTCTCTCCCAGCCATCATTCTTTTCTGTCTCTGAGCTTGACTACTCCAAGTACGTCATATAAGTAGCTGCCAACATTTTTAAATGAGACAGTCATAGCAGCATCATTGATAATAGCCAAAAAGTGGAAATAACACGAGTATCTATTAGCAAATGGGAAAAAATGTCTACTCATATAATGGGATTTTTTCAGCCTTAAAAAGGAATGAAATATAGGCACACCTCGTTTTATTGTGTTTTGCTTTATTGCTTTTTGCAGATACTGTGTTTTTTACAAGTTGAAGGCTTATGGCCACCCTGCAAATTAGCAAGTCCATTGGTGCCATTTTTCCAACAGCATTTGCTTAGCTTCATGTCTCTGGTTTACATTTTGGTAATTCTTGAAATATTCCAAACTTTTTCATTATTATTATTATCTTTGCTATGGTGATCTGAGACCGGCGATGTTTGATGTTACTACTGTAATTGTTCAGGGGCGCCATGAACCATGCCACTATCAGAAAGCGAACTTAGCGATACATGCATGCGTTCTCACTGCTCCACCAGCTGGCTGGTCCCGGCCTGTCTCTCTTCCGAAATGGGGCTCCCTATTCCCTGAGACCCAACATGGAAATTAGGCCAATTAATGACCTTACAATGGCCTCTAAGTGTTCACGTGTTTGGAGGAGTATCGCATCTCTTGCTTTAAATCAGCTCAGAAAGGATGGTGTGTCAGAAGCCAAGGGAGGCTGAAAAGTCCACTGAACCAAAGGAAAGTTCTTGAAGGAGATGAAACTGCTGCTCCCGTGAACACACGGATAATGAGAGAGCAAAACAGCCGCGTTGCTGACGTGGAGGAAGCATGAGTGGTCTGGACAGGGGATCAAACCAGCCACAACAGTCCTTAAGCCAACGCCTGACCCCGAGCAAGGGCCTGACTCTCTTCAATTCCACGAGGGCTGAGGGGGAGGAAGCTGCAGAAGGAGTCTGACGCCAGCAGAGGCTGGCTCCTGAGGTTTAAGGAAAGAAGCCGTCTCCGTGACAGAGGAGCGCAAGGTGAACAGCAGGTGCTGATGGAGAGGCTGCAGCTCAGATCACTAACGAAGGTGCTGAGCTCGACAGCCTCTCGGTGTAGACGAAAGCAGCCCTCTACTGGAAGAGGCCATCTAGGACTTTCACAGCTGCAGAGGAGGCGTCAGTGCCTGGCTTCAAAGCGTCAAAGGACAGGCTGACTCCCTCGCGAGCGGCTAAGGCAGCTGGTGAATGCTCACTGACCATTCTGAAGATCCCAGGACCCTTGATAATTATGCTCGGTCCGCTCTGCCTGCGCTCTATACATGGAACAGCGAAGCCTGGATGGCAGCACATCTGGTTACAGCGTGGTTCACTGAGTATTTTAAGCCACTGTTGAGACCGACTGCTCAGGACAGAGGACTGCTCACTGACAATGCACCCGGTCACCCAGGAGCTCTGCTGGAGACCAGCAGTGAGATTCATGCTGTTTCCATGCCTGCAGCCCGTGGACCCAGGGGTCATTCGAGTGATGCATGAAATGTCCCTGTTGTCTTACTTGAAGAAACTGCCACGGCCACCCCAGCCTGCAGTCATCACCGCCCTGATCAGTCAGCAGCCATCAACATGGAGGCAAAACTCTCCACCAGCTAGAAGGTCATGACTCGCCTTAAGCTCAGATGATGGGGAACATTTATAATAATGTAGTGTTTTAATCAAGGTATATACATTTTTTTTCAGACATAATGCTATTGCACACTTAATAGATTACAGTATAGTATGATAATAGTATTTTATATGCACTGGGAAACCAAAAAATTCACTTGCCTTGCTTTACTGCAAGATTCACTTTGTTGTAGTCTGGAACTGAACCCCCAGTGTCTCTGAGGTATTACTGTACGGATTCATGGTACATTATGTTACATCAAAGAAACCACCAGGAACCACAAAAGGTCACATTGTATGATTCCGCTTACGTGAGATGTGCACATAGGCAAATCCGCAGAGACAGGAAGCCGACTTCTGGTCGCCAGAGATGTAGGGCAGGAGGGGTGGGCGTGAGGAACTTGGTGGATGACAGGGAGTGAGTGCTGATGGGCGCAGGGTCACTGTGAACATGTTCTAAAATGGACTGCAGGGAGGGCTGCAGAGTCTTGAATTAAAACCACTAAATTGTACATTTTAAATGGGTGAATTGTATAATACTGTGAATTGTATCTTAATAAAGCTGTTACCCCAAAAATGAGGTAAATGAAATCTCCACATAAATACCTAGATGCTCAGTTTCCCTTGGCAAGTCCCAGGAGATCTGGCAGCTCTGGTCTGAATTCCTGTGTAGCCAAGGTGGACGTACCCGAAGAGCACTGTCCCCTTCAGATGGGCAGCCACAGTCTCCACTGCTCCCTTCTGTCTCCCAGGCACTGAGGCTGGAGGTCAGGGCCCACCTCGTTTTTTATGTGAAGTTCCCGACTGGCGCCTCTGGAACCCGAGCAGTGCTCAGGCACGCCTTCTGTGAAAGCTATGGTGGCTCCGGTGCTGCAGGAGCACCCAGTGAAGGGCGAGGCAGTCCCTGGACGCAGGGGCAGCCAGGAGGCTTGTGGGCCTGGAGGGGGTTTTTGTACACGGAGGGCAGTTTCATGACAAGGAAGGAAGCAATAAGACCACCAGAACCTCAAGGCCTAAGGGGAGGAGGATGGCCCGGGACAAGCAGCTCAGCAGAGACCTGCATGTGGGGTGGAGCCCGGGTTCCGTGTCCACCTCGGCCTCACGCACACATGGCTGCACGTTCACAGTCCACCTTCCTAACATTTCAGCAAATGCGGAACACCCAACGACGGTTCTCACTCCTCTCACTCCCCAGACATTTCTAAATGCCTCATCTCACCCTCCGGCTGCGACGCAGAGGCTATCAAGTCCTCTCGGAGCCACCTGTGGGAACAAACCCAATCCAGCCGCGAGCGGACTTGATGCTACAAGTTGCACCGCCACCTTCTGGCCACCAAGGGAAGGACGCCTCAAGGCAGCAATGATGGTGTCTCTTTGCCAAGAATACCCACTGTTTTCTTCCAAAACACCTCTGCTTTCAAAAAGACAGGACACGGACGGGATTTTGGTTGACTTCTCCAGGAAGAAAGCCTAAGCTGACATGAGACACAGTCTAGCTCCCCACCGCTGTACCCAAGGTCCAGGATCTGGACGGGCCATACTGAGGGTCCACAGCAGGCACTCAATGAGTATCTATGGGATGATGAAGTATCTGAAATTTGCAGCAGTCAGTGCAAAGCCCCTTCCCTGCCCACCAGGTCTTTCCCAACCTTCTCCCACACCCCCCCAGTGAGCGCTCACACCACAACCTGCTCAGCCCAGAATGCTGGGATGGTGTGTGCTACATGCCCAGGACCCGTTCCAGCTGTGCCAGTAGCCCAGATTAAACTACAGCAGGCAAAAAGTTAACACTA